GAATGGAGGCAGAGGAAGTTCAGGACATTGCCCAGCTATTAGACCCTGCCTCAATAATGACAACAGTCATCTAATTGAGATGATTCTAAGAGGCACAGTGGCTATGCATTCTATCTGGGTGCCGTAGATATGGTTCCATTCATGGGATGTGGCAGCAGTTGTCACCAGGCAGGGTTAATGCTGGATGGAGATTCTCCCTTGGTCCCAGTGGTGAGGACAAAGGTGAGAGCTGGTAGGTTGTCAGAGCCCTGTCAAGCTAATGGGGAGTTAGTGGGAGAAGAATCTGGGGAAACTGGAGCTGCAATTATCTTCTGGGAGTAATCGTAATCAGTGTGGCAAGAGGGATTTCTGTTTTGGTGAGATAACCCCAAGCACAATGTGAATTTAAAATGTCAAGGTACATTTCAGACTCCCTTTGGTGGTGTTTGTGAAAGATGTTAAAATTCTTGGTTAATACTGACCTGGTAATCCACCTGGTAACCTGACCGGTGAAGCATTCCAGTCAAGGATGCCAAAGCTTAGAGTTGGAAAAGGCAGTGTCTGTGTGTGTGTGTGTGTGTGTGTGTGTGTGTGTGTGTGTGTGTGTGTGTGTGAGAGAGAGAGAGAGAGACAGAGACAGAGACAGAGACAGAGACAGAGAGAGCATGTGTGGACCAGAGGTGGGGAGAGAGAGGTGGATTTTTGCAGTGGGCTGGTAAAATGTTTAACAACCAGCTTTCTGGGGGCAACGTTTTGCTTTGCAGCATTTACAGATTTCCTGTGTGAATTGTCCTAGCACAGATGATTTCAAGCACCAATATGACATCACTGAATATTGAATTGGGAAATGACATAAAAAATATTGACTCTTGGGAGCTCATACAAGCAAGTTTTATTACATTGATGCTATTTGTGTGTCCACAAAAATTTATCTATGAAAAATTGGTGAACTTTAGGTTACAAATAGGTCTTATTTTTAAAAATATTTTACTTAGCTGCATGAGCCTCCATATTCTTAATTTGTTGTAATATCCATTTTTTGCTCTCATTTAACACTTGGATTATTTCGTGAATCCCAAGGATTATTTACTACAAAGGAGCTAGTCATGCATTTGATCCCCAAATTTGGAGAGAGTCCTGGGACACTGGACCAGTAAATGCTACCCTGGAGGGCTCCAGTTTTAGTCGCCTTGATGTCCACGGCGGGCACATTGCATCTGGGCACACAGCTGGATGGATCATCCTCAGCCCCCACTGGATATGCCATGGAGGCCACAGATGACATTCACAGGAGGGTGACTGTATCCCAGTGTCACTCTTGGTCACATTCACATGCTCAGCTATTATTTCTAAAGCACATTCTCAGTGTCAAGGTGCAGGTAGGTATGGTAGGCCGAGCCTACGTCCTCTCTTCCATTTCTCTGCTTCCAGGGAGGAGTTCCTCCTCCGCTTCCATTGATTTAGATAAGGAAATGTTGCTGGCCTCCAAGTAGAGGCTTGTCCAAGTTCTCAGTATTCCTCAGGAAAAAATTTTTAGGATGCACCACGTAAGCCAAGCAAGGAAAAGTTTTCCCGAAAGTGAAAGTGCACTCTCAGGGAGGAGAGCAGCAGGCTGGATGACAGCAGCTGCACGGAGAGGAAGTGGTTTTAGATCTCTGTAGCCTTACTGATGGAGCGGAGCAATATTCAAGGCCAAAGGGTTGGTTTTTATTAGAATTTGTATAGTAATTCCAAGAATTGTGTTCCTTCCCATTTTCATACTTTATATGACTGTTTTGGAACTGTCATGGTGACTTCAAGGGCAGAGAAATTTTAAGGCCACAAGGTAAACGATACTGTAATTATCCAAAGTTCATGTGAGGTGGCAGAGGTAGCTGACAAGCCAGCTGAAGCCAGTTCTTGTGTGCCTTGCCAGCCCATTTTGTTTAAGGTTGTTTACTTTAACGCCTGCACTCAACCTTCAAGCAAGCACCTGCATCCAGTTGCCTGGTCTCCTACTTTAACAGAAGCATCTGTGTAGCTGAATGGAACCGTGTTGTGAGAAGGAGGAATTTCCAGACTCAGCAAGGTGCTAAGCTGTATCAGGTTGACCTGATAAGTAAGAAAGCCAACATCTTTAAAACTCACATCATTCAGGGACTACTTAATGTGTTTTTTATAGCACTCAGAGTACTGATTTAGGGTTATTTACAAAGAAAAAATAGTAGTTATCATAGCATTTAATATAATTATAATAAAATATGATGTTGTAAAATCTAATGATTAGGCTAGTTATTTAATGGAGGTAGAGGGAAGTTGTTATTTATAATCTCTCCTCAAGGCTCCAATGCCTGGCTTGGCAATGGATATTTTGAACCCTGGGTCAGTTTTCACAAATAGTTATTTTATATTCTTTATTGTTATAAATTATTTTTCTGTTTCACTACTAAAATTTGGCAGAAACAAAGCAAGGGTGCAGTGGTTCTATTCTAGGCTGGGATACTTACTTTGATCATGGATGCAGAATTATAAAGGGACTTATCAGTGAAGACTTGTCTTAGTAGGATTTTCAGAACAGTCGATACACATATCAGATTAAAAAGTGGGGTACTTAGATCTATCGATTTGGAATACTAGTGGGTGGATTTCTTACCCATTCTTTTGTTCTATTTCACTCTGAGAAGCATTTCTTTACCTCTATTTCAGTTCCTGGATGTAGGGTTGGGTTTTGTTTTATTTTATTTTAATGCCTAATAATGTGCTGTTGACTTTTTTGCTCTAATGAAAGAAGACAATCATTAAGAACTAAGAAATTATCATACAGTAGGCAATAAAATATTTATAATAATCTTCTTAAGAAATCCTATGTTTTTTCTCTCAACATTAAAAAATGTGGTATCTTGACACAGGCTCTTTGGGCTCTCCAAGAGAATGGATTTATTGCTAAGAAATATCACTCGCACTAGTCATTTTGAACTGTGAGAATGGTCATGCTGACATGTTCAGAGACATTATTTCAAACACTAGTGTGAGCCCTATCCCTTCTCAGCCATCATGTGCTAGCATGGAAAGATGAGGTTGTATTGCTGTCCCTCTCTCTGCCCGGTAAACTGAGGGGCATCACTGGGCAAGACTGGCAGGGACACTCCAGCAGCACAGGCATAAGTCTGGCACAGGGGTGGGGAACCTTTTCATGTTGGAAGGCCACATTAATTTAGCTATAATCAAATAAGGCCACATTCAAGAAAAATTATTTTGTGAAAATCTAACTACTATGTACCTAATAATTTAAAAAAAAATGAAAACTATTTGTCAATCTTAAAGCTAACTAACATTTTAATAACTTTGTTGTGTCTGCTTTTTGTTGCAAAGCACTTGAATATTTGGTTGTAGCATGGAAATTGGCAGTTCTGTTCAATCCTCTAGATGGGTATCGTCATTTGTGACCTTAAGGACATCTTGATTTGTGTTAGGTGGGGGAGTGTAGATTGGCAGCAGTAAGTGGTTGAAAAGCAAGAAAGCATTTTTCAGGCAGTTGCCAAAGGACTGGGTATTCTACTGCATTCTTTCATATTTCACTTGATCTTTCTTAGCACCAAACAATGACTTTAAATGTCATGTACTGAGAGCTCAATCACTTCCATCTGTAACTCTTTAGGTGCCTTGGTGATCTCAAATAGGTGAGGCTGAAATGCTAATTTGAGCATGCTGTCATGATTCTCAAAGTCAGTGAACATTTCATTGTATTCTCCAAATAATAGGTCTATAACAGTTGCATATTCTTCGAATGATTCATAAGTATCATCCCGCTCATCAATGACCTTTGCTAACTGGGGAAGACTCATCTGAAATTTCCTTTTGAAAAAGTGTTTTGGAAAAAAGAGTTTTTTCTGAAATTCTTGGATTTTTGCCACCTATCATATATAGACTTAGTTTTACCTTGCAAAGAAATATTGGAGTCATTTTGATTTTACATGATATCACACAGAAATGCTGCCTTCCATTAGAAATTTTCTTTCAATAACTCACATTGCTGATTCTGTTCTTCATAAAATTTAACTATCTGTTTTTGCAGAGATAAAATTTTGACTAAGATCTGTCCGTGTGATAGCCAATACACTTCAGAATGATAAGGGAAATCCACACTGAATACCTCATGGTCCAGCTTTATCATGTTACAAAACTGATCATGCTGTATTACATTTGCAGGAATATAGTTAACAATGCGTATAACTTGTTGCCAAGTTTCACTTAAAATAGTAGCTTTAGCACAGAGATTTTGCTGTTGTAAGATACAATAAGAAGAAATGAGAACATCTGGATCTGTTAATACGTTTTTATCTGTGCAATAAGCCCTTCATGTCTTCCTTTCATGGAAGGTACACTATGTGTACATATACTCACTAAATTTAACAAATTCAGTCCAACTTCATGCTATTTATCTTGAAATTTGTTGAAGATATCTATTCCTCCATGTTCTATTCACATGAGTTTCCAAAGCAAGTAACTCTTTATATGAAAGAAAATCTTCTGTTATGATCCAAATGGAAAATGGAATATAATACATTCACTGAGTCAGTAGTATTAGCTGATTCATTCAAACCTATTGAATAATATATATTTTACTTTTGAAGTATTACATGAAGCTGTTCTAAGTTGAAGGCTAATTTATGCATCGGATCAGTTATGGTTCTCCTTGAAAGGAGCAGTTGTTTGTACCTTGAAATGTTATCCAGGTCTAAGCATCCTACAACTTTGACAATGCATTTTTTTCAGAATTTCTACATCACTGAATCGCTTCCCTTTTTTTTTTTCTTCATGAGTATATAAGCTACTTTATAAGTTGCTTCAGTGGCATTATTTTCAGGTTTCATTGCTGCTTAAAAGAATTTTCTTTGCTTTTGCTTTTCATTTTTTAATATCTGCAATGAAACCTTTCATGACTCTCCCTCTAATTTAAAATATTTTTGGTCCTTATGAGTGTTATAATGCTGACGAATATTGAATTTCCTTAATGTTGATATTGTAGTATCACAAAGCAAGCAAATTATCTTATCTTTAGCAGAAACAAGATAATATTGCAATTCCCAGTCCTCATTAAAGAAATCTGCTTCCTTCCATCAGCATTCTCTTGGTCTTCTTTGACATGATGGGCTGTTAAGCAGACAGAATTAAAAAAGAAATTTTCCAAAAGAAGACAGAATAATGGCCAACACACATATGAAAAAATGCTCAACATCTCTAATCATCAGGGAAATGAAAATCAAAACTGCAATATCACTTATCTCCAGTAAGAATGGCCTTTATCAAAAAGTTCCCAAACAATAAATGCTGGCATGGATGCGGAGAGATAGGAACCCTCCTACACTGCTGGTGGGACTGCAAACTAGTTCAACCTCTGTGGAAAGCAACATGGAGATACCTTAAAGCGATACAAGTAGACCTACCATTTGATCAAGCAATTCCACTATTGGGTATCTATCCAAAAGATCAAATGACACTCTACAAAAAAATACACCTGCACTCGAATGTTTATAGCAGTACAATTCACAATTGCAAGGATGTGGAAACAACCCAAGTGCCCATCAATACATGACTGGATTAATAAATTGTGGTATATGTATACCATGGAGTACTATTCAGCTCTAAGAAACAATGGTGATATAGCACCTCTTGCATTTTCCTGGATAGAGCTGGAACCCATTCTACTAAGTGAAGTATCTCAAGAATGGAAAAACCAGCACCACATGTACTCACCAGCAAATTGGTATTAATGGATCAACACCTATGTGGACACATAGGAATAACATTTATTGGGTGTCAGGCGGGTGGGAGGGGGGAGGAGGGGATGGGTATATACAAACATAATGAGTGAGATGTGCAACATTTGGGGGATGGTCACGTTTGAAGCTCTGACTCGAGGGGCGAGGGAGGCATGGGCAATATACATAACTTTAACATTTGTACCCCCATAATATGCTGAAATAAAAAAAATACAATTGAGCTGTGCAACTATTCACAAATTCCACTTCAAACAGAAACACAATGCACCTGTGTCAAAAGCTGATAACAGACTGGAGTACTCAACCCCTATAAACTCTCAGCAGCCAGTCTTGTGCCATAGTGGTGCCAGTCTGTCAGGGAACGTTAGAACTAAATCATGAGCATAGCAGCCTTCAATTTAGCCCTTATGGCTTACTAGTGTTCTATTTGTGCCAATCTGTGAGGGTTATTTCATTGAAACGTATTTTATTCCTTGGGCTTTTAAATGCCAAAATTTTCATTTCAAAAATAAAATATAAAAGATGAACAAAATGTATTAATAAAAATAAAAGGATTTGTTCTATAAAATTTGGATTTTGTCCAAAGGCTGCACTTAAGAACATAGAAGGCCACATGAGGCCATAAGGCTGCAGGTTACCTACCCTGAGTCTAGCATAAGATGTGTGGTAGCCAGATGACTTGATTTCAGTCCTGGATCTGCCTTTTATTCACTGCTATTTTGAACAAGTTACTTTATTCTTCTTTGCCTCCGTTTTCTCATCTATAAAATGGGGACGGTAATAGTATTTACCTTATAGGTTACTGTCAAGTTGAGATGAGTGATTACATGTTAAGTACATAGAACATTGCCTGACCACTATTAAGTACTCAAAAAAAAGTTAACATTTATTACTATTGTCATGGTCTTCAATAATTATGATAGCTGCCATTATAGCTGGCCCTTTATCAGTACCTGTCATGATACCCATTATAATAAAGTCTATTTCTATGCTTAGAAAGTCATCTTTAACTAAGTGAAAATATGCCTTCCCCTGTAAGCATGGGTTCTACTGTAGCATAGGTTCTCCCGAAATATGAGTTCTACTGCAGCTTGCTTTCCTCCAGCATGGACTCCCCTGGGTGTGCATTCTTCTTAAAGCATTGGTTTCTCTTTAGCATGAGCTTTATCTTGTATAGAATTTCAAAAACTTACAGGTGATATAGGGGTCAGGCAAGTCTTCCTCACATATTCCAAAATTCTGAGTTGTTCTGCATATCTGCTGTTTGATGTGGTTATAGTAACCACATCATGTGGTTATAGTAACACATTTTGGTATGTATATGTGACAGTAGTTACTCTTTCAGACTGAGCATCATTCAGTTAATTAATAAAATAATATATTAATATTTAATAAAGTAATACATTTATATTAATAGATATAATATTTTCCATGACTTGTATGGAATCCCTAGGAATATGTTATAGTGGAAACCTGTCTAGCCAATTTGGTAATATAGCAGTAATTGTTCATTTAAGCAAAAAAAAGTCTATTAAAATACAGAGTAAAAATGTTATAAGCATAACTTTGTTTTAACTTAAAAATGTGAGTGGACATTTACTGTGAATAATTGGTAGAGGGCCAACTTATTTTTTATTATGAGATCTATTCTGTCTCTCAGCATAATTTTTATTATTGCACCCATAAAGATTATCAATGACTCCTAGTTTGGGACTCTTTAAAATGGAATCAGAATCTAAATATAATTGTGAAACAATCTCTATGAACATGACCTCTATGTTTGTATGATTCTGACTCCCTTCAGACTTGTGTATATAATTTGTCAGCAATATTTTCAGAAATTAACATTTATTTGTTTTTATCCAAAGCATTCAACTTGGTTTTCATTGAACCATTCTTTGTTTAGGTCCATATTTCATATATTTACATAACATCTAATAAAATTAAATGGTTACAATAATGAGCCTAACTTCCATAAAGATATTTGGGAACAAAGGTAACTGATGAAAGTCACTGGGGAGGCAGGAAAGTGTGGGACGCCGCGCCCTGAGAGGCCGACCTGATACTGGTACCAGCCACAGCGTCCCTACGCGGAACGAACGGTGAGTCCAGGAGCCCTCGAGGCCAACGTTCAATCAGAAGATTTGTCCTGCATTTGCTATTAGCCCTGGGGATGTTTTACATTCATCTGATCGATGGCATGGTTCTTCTATGTGGAGTGGAGCACTAGATGATTGCTCTGTAGCTTTGCTCTGTTCCTCACATAAATAGCATGATTTACTAACTCATGTTGGGAATACATTTCATATTTATCCAAAACAAAATGTTGATTTAACATGTTTCAACTTACTATTATTTTTTTATATTAATAACAAAGTTGTTTCTTAAAAGTTGACACACTGGAGTTTGTAGGCAGTGGATTGCTGGCCCTATAAAGCCAAATTTTCAGTTATTTACATTTATATTTCTGAATTACACCATTCTTTTTTATTCTGCTTGTGTGGTACATTTCACAATGAATATTTCACTTGTCATAGCTTCAGAATCCCAATTGACATTTGAGTCCTACTTACTATTCTTACAAAATTATTTGGAATTATAAAAATTTAGTTTTTGTTTTCATCAACAATTTCATACTTTAATGAACTACTTTTTTTTTTTTTTTACAAATAATCAGCTTTTGTGAATTAAATATCTAACACAACATAATAAGGATAATAACACAAATTTGACAACAATAAACTTGAAATAGCATGAAACTACTAGTCCGCTGCGACTATTAATAGGAATTTAAGGAGTTTTACCAGAAATCATCACTAACCCGGCTTTCCAATGTATTGGGTGTGTGTGTGCACATGGGTAATGGGAGATGTTATATTTTTCAGTCTTTCAAATGAAAACACCAACCAGCCTGCGGACCCCTGGCAGGTGTTCTGTGGACCATGCTTTTGGGGCAAAGTTCAGGGAGCCCTGGCTTCGGTCCCAGTCACTAATCCAGTCCACGCTCCTCCATGGTGAGTTCCCCTGGGGGCCCTTTCCTGCCAGTGGCCTGCGGCAGGACCAGGCCGAGCCGCCGGGAAAGACTTGCTTCCCAGGCAAGGGCCCTTTTCTCCCGGGAGCTCCTGGATCTCTCTGTAAACTTGCCCTTCTGCTCCTCAGTGTCCAGCTGTGCCAGGGGACACTGGGAAAGGCCCCCTAGGGTACAGTGTACCACTTCTCCTTGTGCTTACAAGCCCAGGGGCATATTTAAGAAAGTTTTATTCTAATAAACAAAACCTGCTTCTGTTATCTTCCTTGCTTCTCCTTTAGACGTAAGTTGGGCCTCAACTGTCACTCCCTCACAGCTGTGTAAAGCGGCGGTTGTTAACAGCATATGCAAAGCCTCGGTGGCTGAGGACCTGTGACGAGTTGCAGGCTGCAGGCGGTCTGTTGTGGAGATGTGCTATTCGCCTGCTTAGACAGAGTGCGAGGACGGGCAGACCCAGGACATGAAGGCCATCTTATCGCTGCGCAAAGCTGAAGCCCATGCCCGGCTGATAACGGCCATGGTCGTGACTGGCATTGACACGGGAAATGCCGGCGCCAGGACGTGGCTGCTTGCGCCTCCGTCGCCGGGCATCCCTGCGGGCCAGCGCTGCGTGGCCAGGCGGGGCGCGATGCCAGGGCCGCGCAGACGCAGTGCCGCCCGGGGCGGGTCTGGGATGCTGCTCGTGTGATGCTGATTGGGCAATTTTTGAATCCCACTATTTTTGATTGGATGTTAAAGCTTGTTGTTGATTAGATGTTAAAGCTTGATGTTGATTGGATGTTAAAGCTTGATGTTGATTGGATGTTAAAGGTTGTAGTTGATTGGACACTTTTTGAGCCCTACCAAGGGTATAAAAACAGGAGGAGAACAAGGAAGGGGGTCAGAAGATCAAAAGACAGGAAGAGAGTTGTAACATTAGGAGTGCTGAGCCTGCCAGAGAAATAAAGGCTGTTCTCCGAATTTTCCGCTGAACCGGTCAAGAGCTGTAACACTAGCTGTACGTGTTGCGGCAACAGTATGACCCTCATAGCAAAGGGGTGGGAAACATACCTGTAATTCACATCGTTCCTGACTTAGTTCCTAGTGCAGTGGATGTGAAGATGGTTAAAAATGCTTTTTCTAAAGGGCATTCTTAAAACACTGACAATATTACCATGATGTAACCAAAATGTAGTTATCCGAGTTAAATTAGAAACAGTAATATATTACTTTTCTTTCAGCTTTTGCAGTTCCTAATATACTTTGTAGAGACTCATATATATTTATGTCTGGACATTAACAACTAGAATTTAATTATCATAATACGTCTTCTTTGACACCAACAATGTGAAGTGGTCAGAGGATCATTGCGTTTTCTTTGCAAAATGAAAATGCTTGGAGAAGATATTATGGAAAATGTTCATAGGATACTGCCTTAAGAAAGCAATAAAAACTGACATCAAATCTCCCAGGTTTGTCTAGGCAGGTTATTAACTAGAAATAGCACATTACTTGTGCTCTATGAATCTCAACTCTAATCGTTTGATCCCTTGAGCCAGGCCTGGCCCTTCTTCTTTTCTTTAATTTTCTGCTGCCTCACCTGGACAAGGAGAAACATTTTCCTCATCCTTCACAGCAATCCCAGCCAGCTGGGCTTCTGTGTGCTCTTTTCTCCTAGTACCTGTGGACCTGCCACAGCTGAAGTGAACCAGACCCCTCCTCCACCATAGCAGGTGCTTAGTCTGCAGTAGAGTCTAATTGGGGATCGATTGAGGAATTTGAACTGGAAATAGAGGAGCCTGGGAAGCAGGAGTATCTGGTGGGGCAGAACGGGAGGGGAGTGAAGGGCAGCCTGGGCACCTGAGGGGAGGGGGCCGCCCTGTGCTGAGGTCAGGCTCCTGGGGCCTCAGCTGCTCTGCAGATAGGTATCTGCTTGGAATGGCTTTTGTTTTGTGCATACATGCTATTGTATTTATTCTTTCTCCTCCTCTACTTTCTCCTCTTCCTCTTTCTTTTCACCTCTGGAAAGATTGTTACTTATTATTTTACAAAGAGATGTTCTGTTGCAAGGCCTTTGTGTGCACTTACCAACTTAGTTGATTCCATGGTTTGTGGAGCAGTTGGATACAAAGTGTTTCAGTTTTTTTACCCCTAGAATACACAGTTTGTGTGAGTTTTTGTTTTTAAGATTGATGAATTTGATGCAAATTTAATATATACCATGTACATTTGTAGCCTTCAGTTTCCTTTCATTGGCTATCAGGTCTTTAGTGATATGCTAAAATGTCAAATTCATTTACATAGGATAGTAAAGATTGTAGGATTAGAGGGGCTGGAGTTTAATCAAAAAGGAAACATTTATAGGTCTAACCACTCCTATTGTCTGCTCGGTGAACATCCAATCAAATGTAATTACATTGCAATCATTTTTAGACTTTAATGAACTCAACATCTAAACTCTAAGGCTTAACCCACTGTTGGAGTTTTAAAAATATTTTTAATACATGTATGTACATATATACACACATTTTTTTTTATATATATTTTTATATGTTCATTTTTTTTTTTATATATATTTTATATGTGTGTATATATATGTGTGTGTGTGTGTGTGCGTGTGTTCTAATTCACCTGTTTTTTCTTCCTTCAGCGATACTTCTGCTTTCTCCACCAATGCTCCCTGATTATTTGTAGGTAAATACATCATTTAAATTCATTAAAGCAATAGCATTGGGTTTAGGAGTATAGCAGCAGACTTGACCTCAAAGGATTATAACTGTAAACCTACATGGGAAGGTGAAATCTAAGTAACCGGGAAATATAGACACATTATTGCCTCCCAGGTATTCAGATCCTGTAAAAGGGAAGATAAAACAACAACTTGATCTCTTTAAGTACTGGTCTGTTATCCATGAGTAGTGCCTTGGGTAGGAGAATACGAAGAACACTTATTTAATGAAAGGTTGATCAATAGGCTTATTTTTGCTCAAAACTATATCTTTTTGGACTTTGTCCTTCCTGTTTTTGTGGAGACTGATGAATTTTACTAAAAGATTCAGTCCTTTCAATGACTGCTACCAGATTGTATTAAGTATTTTAATGAGCATATTTTGACAAAAATACGTGGGATATATATGTACACACAACGGAAAATAAAAGGGTCATGGGGAGTGGAAAAACTTTGAAAATATTTGCTCAAAATGATTTCTGAACGCAGCCTCCTCGTGTTCTCTGTAAGTTGCAGAGAGCAAACAAAATGTGCACAGTGTTACAAAGTTGCAAAGTGCTGCTCCCGAGGCCTCAAGGGTCTTCCGGCAGCTCCAGTCAATCAGCTTTAGCCTGGACTCAATCTGTGGCAAGAGCAGAGAACAAAGGCCAAACTGGCCACGCTGCCTTGAAAGGAGAGCGAAAGCCGGTTTTGCATGTGTGCTTATATCTGAAATTAACTTGATCTTATTTTTGCAAGAGAACTAACCACTGGATTCGCTACCATGAGTGCTCCAAAGTATTTTGAAACGATCGAGTTGAATATAGATGAAATTCATCCACTTTTAGCTTGATTTCTTTTCTAAACATCCTGCCTTCGTATTTTCCTTGCTAGGGCTTACTTGGTAGACAATATACCAGTATTTTGTAGTTAATGTCAGTTTGTCTTGGATGCCCCAATCTCACTGCTACACAATAGCATTTATGTACCTTTTGGAGTTAGAAGGCTCACAGAAAGTTTGTTTACATCCTTAATATGAATCCAATGCCTTTGTAAGTACAAAGATTGCATTTCCAATACAGGAGGAAAGGTGATTCAAAGGACTGTAACAAGTGTTCTAAGTAACTACAAATTACTTTCTTCCTTTTCAAAAACTACTTCAGTGGATTAACTTCATGGTGCAATACTGGGCTTGGTGCAATATATATTGCACAATAACATTCCTATAGTTGGTGATTCAAATGGCTTTTGAATAAGCAGTATTGCATCTCTCTCAGTGCCTGGGCTTCCAACAGAGATTTGTTCAGCAAGAAGTTGGGAAATAAATAAAGTGTATTGTTAGGAAAAGACTCATTTAGGCTTATGGTTATGCTAATTTATTTAAATATATACATTGGGACAGTGTGGATCAAAGATTTAAAGGGGTTTTCCAGAGTTCTATATGTAGGCTTATCCTTTTTATTTAAGATCCAGCTAATGCTGATTCAGTTTTTCTTTGTTCAGTTGCTCTGTTTCTGAGAGCTTATTTATCACTTTGTAATGATCATCATCTTTATGACATCATGCAGTTTTTTTAACCACATTATGTGTGTGCAAGCAAAGCAAGGTGACAATCGGGCTTAGAGTTCAAGCTTTGATTGTACAAAAACAGTATTAGAAAAAACTCATGAAATTACCACATTCAAGGAATTTGGGTTTTTGTCAGTTCTGTTTTGTTTTTCTGCTGCAACCCAGGAAGCGGGATTAAGAATGCTAGCGCTAGGCAACTGGTGACTTGTGTGTTGCCTGCTGTGCTGAGGCAAGCACGTGGCCACTGTTCTTCACACAGCAGCCTGGGATCTGGTGAGGACAGTGGAGGAACTGGGCAGATGACTGTGCCAACAGCAAAGGGACGTGGGGTGTGCAAATGCTTGCAGGTCCTTGTGGACCATTGGACCCTGGTCCAGTGCAGTAACCAGTGTCCAAGGCAAACCAGCATCCTTGTATTGAGGGAAAAGAAGCCAAACTCTGTAAAATAATTTAAATAAGTTTATTCTGAGCCAAATTTGAGGACCATGTCCCAGAGCCACACCCAACAAGCCTTGCGCAGGTGGACTTGCTGTGATTGTGTCACAGTTTGGTTTTGTACATTTCAGGGAGACAAGGGTGACAGGTAAAGTCATAAGTCAATGCGTGGGAGGCACACATTGGTTTGTCCTGAGAAGGTGGCCATCTCGAAGCGGGGTGGAGTGACAAGTTATAGGTGGCTTAAAGATTCTTTGACTTGTGCTTGGTCAATGGCATGAAGCTTTGTCTTAAGGCTTGGAATGTTTTAAGATAAAAGGTTTGTTAATCAGAGACAAGCCACCAGACATATGTATTGTATAAATTGAGGACCTGCAGGTTTGTCTTGCATACCCTTAGGCCTGCTAATGAGTTACAAAGGCTGTCTCCAAGAAGGGAGGGGGCATGATGAGGCATGTCTGACCTCCCTCCTCCTGGCAGGCCATTTAGTTTTAGGATATTCCCTTGGTCACGATGTTACAACAGACCTGACCGGGAAACAAACTGGGAGCCACACATGAGTACTGCAAAACAGGCTTTTTATTACGCACGGGCTCAGAGGGGTCTCGTCTCCAAATTCTGAGCAAATGGGGTTAATGATATGCTGGTTGTTATATGCTTTGTTATGAGGAAGTTGGTTCAGAAGGAAAAAATGGTTACAAGGCTTGTGCAAGGTAAGGGCTTCAAAGCTGCTTATCCATGCTATTTGGCAGTTCTGCTTTTACAAGATAGAAGTTACAAAGTTTGCATCAGGCAGAGGGTTAGTCAAGTGCTTTTGTTTATGGTTACTTAATCACGTTATTATTAGGAGGGGAGTGCAGAATGTTTCCCTTACGGCGAGGGGGTCCATTCAGTCAGCCAGTGGGAGAGCCTTAAGATTTTGCTTTAGTTCACAGTTGG